GTTTTGCTTTGATTTATATGTTCATGATGTGAACTGCGCTTCCTCTATGTTATTTCGATCCTCAAGATAGCCTGTTGACTGGCAGGATCTCAAGGAACTGTTGTAAAACAAATAATGAACAACAGTTTCATCAAAACTCTTGCAGAATTTCTAGCCAGCTCAGCCAGATCATGTCAATAAAGGTAGTTTAGATAAGCCTTAGAAAATCACAATTACCTTACATCCCAAATGGGCACATTTGTCCATGATTAGCATAAATTGGATTATTGATTTCTGTTTTTCAGAGAGTAAACCTAAACCTAAGGGAAAGGATGAATATTTTAGCAATTAATGAAAAATAGTGAATTAGTGCAGAGCACAAATTGAATCCAGTCATGTTTACTAAGAAAAATCCCAGCCCTTTTGTTCTAGGTTTTATTCCTCTGGACAGTGAGCCTCGTAAGAGGTATGCTTGTGTAGTCTTCACTCAGACAGAGGAGCTTGTATCCACTTGAGAGCTCCATTGATTTTCTGAACAACAGCCTAGGGAAGTAAGTCCTCCCACTTCTGCTGAGCACTTAGCAGATGTGTAAATGACAATAAACATAAATAAGATATGTATCACTCAGGTCTGTACTGTGTATTCATTTGGAGTGCCACTTGTTCATGTGAGTGTGTCAGCTGATCTGAGAACACAAAAATAACTGTTGAGTAACAAGAGAACAGCTCTGAAAGGGAGGGTAGAAAATGTCAAGAAAATGGCAGAGACATTCACCTTGTTGATTATGGAGCAGTCACAAAAGATTCATTGCAAATAGTAGCTAGCAGAGAAAAAAAAAGAAGACCATTCAAATACCTTGACAAAGTCACTCATGAAAAATTAGGAATTGGTTATCCTATTTTAGATTGATTAACTGATATGCATCAACACACCATACAGAGCTGAGCCCAATGTACCTTCTTTACACCCACAATCCATTCCTAGAGCTATTAAAATTTGCTATACTAGTGTTTGATTAATTGTGTTACTGTGATTCTGCAGATCGATGTTTGGTTGTTGAAGCACTCTGCAAATAGATGCTTCCTGCCCTAAATAGCTGTCTTTCTAAGTAGATGAATATGCAAAAGTTAGGAGAGGGACATTTTTTTTGTCTCACTTTATAGATGAGGAATTGGACATAAAGAGATATTAACTGGCTATCCAGAGGTCACCAAGGAAGCCTTTGTGAGAGCTGTGAACTGGTTTCATATCTTTTGAGTCCCAAACTAGGACTTTAGGCATTTCTTCTTTTCAATCAAATGATAAAATTTATCATGTTACTGACGCCAAGGAGGTCATACAGTAACGGGTCATACACTAGTGAGTGACTCAGCGTTTGTACATAGGTGGAGTACAAACTTAAAATATACATATATCTCTGTAACTTCTGACCATAAATCAAAACTGCTTTCTTTCTGCCTAGGAAAAATATATGTCTGCTATTTTTGACAATATTTTAGTAATTTTGTTATTGCAAGGCTACTTCTCATTTCTAAAGGATATGTGCTAATATCTGCAGTCCAATCCTGTATCGCTTGCTGGGCTGATTTACTGCTGGATGAATTATATGAAATCAGGAGAGCGTTCAAGTTCATCATGTTCTGTAGTCTCTTGCAATCATTCTTTCAATGCAAAAATGACAGTAAAATTTGCTACCTAGCTCTTGCCTGTCTCCAAACTTTTAGAGTAGAAATATTCCAGGGAAGACAGAAGACAATGGAGATAGATAGTCTCATGGCATAATTTTCAGAGATCAGAAAAGAAAAGAGAAAACTCCTGACAAACATACTGATTTTTTAAACCTAATTTCTGTAAATGTGTTGCATTAGAAGACCCAGCTGCTTAAGTTATGCAAAATCAATATGTCATCCATGAATATGAGCACATTTCGAGGACAGTTTCATTTCTGCCAGGAAAGAGGCCAGGATAGTTGGGAAATGCATGCCGAGGGTTGAAATTAACCCAGAAAACCCTATTGTACAGACATGAATAGAACAGAACCTCAGTAGGTGAACAATTTCCATAGAGAAAATCAGATCCAGGGAACTACTAGCCAGTCAGACTTACCTTGACCCATGAAAAAGATGGTGGAATAGCTCATCCTAAATGCCATCTCCAAGCACAGGAAGTATAAGAAGGAGATCAGAATGAGTCAGGAGGGATCCATAAAGAAAAATCATACTTAACCAACCTGATAGCCTTCCATGACGGGATGACCGGCTGGCTAGATGAGAGGAAACCAGTGGATGTGGTTTACCTTGTCTTCAGAAAGGCCTTCAACATTGTCTACCAAAACATCCTCACAGGCAAACTCAGGAAGTGTATGATAGATGAGTGGACAGTGAGGTGGATTCAGAACTGACTGAAAGGCAGAGTTTAGATGGTTGTGATCAGTGGTGCAGAGTCTAGTTGGAGGCCTGTAGCTAGCACCATTCCCCAAGGGTCAATTCTGGGTCTAGTATTGTTCAGCTCATTCATCAGTGATCTGGATAAAGGGACAGAACGCATCCTCAACCAATCTGCTATGATACAAAACTGGGAGGAGTGGTTGATACACCACCAGAAGGCTGTGCTGCCATTCAGAGGGACCTAAGAAGCTGAAGGCTGGAGAGATGGGCAGAGAGTTCAACAAAGGGAAGCGCAGTGTCATGGCCCTAAGGAGCAATAATGCCATACACCAGAACAGGCTGGGGGGTTGATCTGATGGAGAGAAACTCTGCAGAGAAGGACAGGAGCGCTGGTGAACAGCAAGTAAACCATGAGCTAATCATGTGCCCTTGTGGTCAAGGTGGCCGATGGGCTGAAGGCTGGAGAGATGGGCAGACAGTTCAACAAAGGGAAGTGCAGAGTCATGGCCCTAAGGAGCAGTAACGCCATACACCAGAACAGGCTGGGGGGTTGATCTGATGGAGAGAAACTCTGCAGAGAAGGACAGGAGCGCTGGTGAACAGCAAGTAAACCATGAGCTAATCATGTGCCCTTGTGGTCAAGGTGGCCGATGGTGTCTTGGGGTGCATTAGGAAGCACATTGCCAGCAGGAAGGTGATTCTGGACCTCTACTCAACCCTGGTGAGGACACATCCAGAGTGCTGAGTCCAGTTCTGGTCTCCCCAATACAAAACATGGAACTACTGGAGTGAGTTCGGCAGAGGGCAATTAAGATGATTAAGGGGCTGGAGCATGTCTCAACTTAGGAAAGGCTAAGAGAGCTGTGCCTTTTTAGTCTGGAGAGGAGAAGGCTGAGACAAGATCTTATCAATGTGTATAAGTATCTGAAGGGAAGATATAGAGAGGATGGAGCCAGATATTTTTCAGTGGTGACCAGTGATAGGACAAGAAGCAACAGGCACAAGTTGAAACACAGGAATTTCAATCTGAACAGGGGAAAGAAGTTCTTTACTGTGAATGTAACACAACACTACAATAGGTTACCCACAGAGGTTGTGGAATCTCCTTCCTTGGAGATATTTAAAAGCCTTGGAAACGTGCCCTAGGTAACCCTGTTTGAGCAATGGGGTTGGACTAGATGATCCCCAGAGGTCCCTACCAACCTCAACCGTTGTGTGATTCTGTGAGATAAAGCTTACCTTGATAGGCATTAAACTTCATGCAGCTCCACGGAACAGTATCACACTGACAGGGGAACCATCATAAATAGAATTTCTTTCAGCATGCTTTAGTGAGAAGTCCAGGGTTTCGGTCTATATTTCTTTCTACAGTCCTACTGTCCTTGATTTTGCTGTCAATATGTTCCATTGCAAATGTAATTTCCAGGTGTTATATTATATTCCACATGCCAATCCTGGATCTGGTGATTTTGTGTAAAAATATAACTCTAAGTATATCCCTATTCCCCATTATCCCCTAGGCAGTACAAATTCTTATCAATAATAGGTTGGAATATTGCTACCACTTGTCTCGTGCATAGCATTCGCTCACCAGTAATTGCATTTCTAGTTAGTGAAATAGTGAAACAGTACCTCTTTCAATCTCAAAAGCAAACGAATTCTGATTTTAACATGCTATTCTCTCTCTCTCTCTCTTTTTTTTTTTTACAGAGATGCAGAAGAAGAAAAAAAGGCTCTCCTTTCTTCTAAAAAAAAACCTTGATTGAAAATATCTTAAATAACATTGGGTCTACAAACTGTGGTGTTACATGGGAGTGTTGAAATTTATTTCAGATTCATTCCTGTTGTTTCTTAAAACAAGGCAAACAGAAACCATCATGTAGGAGCGTATGAGGTTCTGGCAGCTTGTCATCTCTTTCATATTGTCATGGAAGGCAACAGTGAAGCCAAATGCATTCTGCTTTTTATAAGCCAGGCTCCTATTAAGCAAAGGCAAAAAAAATAAAAAAAGATAATGGAAAGAAATGGTCAGACTGACTGATGATGAAACAAAATTGAAACACTCATAAGTCATGAGTATGTTAGGATAAAGAAACCTGAAGTTTGTAACTATGAAGCAGTTAATAAAATGGCAGAATTTTCTGATGATTTTGCCTCATCTAGTCTGCAGAGAGCATTTTTCAAGGAAAATGAGGACTCTCTGTATGCTAGTAAATCCTTGATCTCAGTTAATAGTTGGTGCCTGAGGTTGGGGATTGTTACTTGGTATGGTGATGATGCTGTTGTCCTGCGCTCCCTTACTGCTGGATTAATATGTGTATGTTCCTCACAGAAGTAAAGTGAATGGGAGAGGTAAGTTTTGTCCCACAAGAACTGCCATGTTAAACTATTGCTCTGGTAGTCCATGGATGGACTTTTCCTCCCGTTTTAAGTAAATTTTAATTGGTTGCTATAACAACTCTACAAGCCAACTTGAAAAAAAAGCTACATAAGACACTCTATTTTTCTTTACATGAAATGTGCCCTTAGGATAAATCTTTCCTGTTCCTATCCCTATTGGTAAATATGTAGCCTGTGTCCTGAGCTTCTGAGTGATTTTCTTTTTCTGTTCTAATCTTATCTATTGTTACTGCAGAAGCAGTTGTTATTCAGACAAGGGTTGGATCTTTTAAAAATCAGTAAACTGCTATCCTCAGAGATATCTTTGACAGTTGTTTTCTGACATACCCTGTTTGTTTCCTTTTCTTTCTTTTTTTTTTTATTTGGAGATGGTGAAGGATTAATGCACATTTTTTACATGACTATATCCTTTGCCGTTGTTCATCTTTCTGTATGTGTCATTTCTTATTTCTTTCCTCCCTGAATTAAACTATTCTCATATTTTCTACTTGCTGTAGAAAGCTTTTTTCTCCACTTTAAATGGTCTTACTGAGAGAGCAAAGCACTGACAGCATGGTACAAGACTCCTGTGAGACCTCATCTTGAGTACCACATATAACTTCCGATTGTGAACAGACAGGCTCTTGCATGGATGTTTGGGGAAGAGGCAGCTTATTGCATGAGAGAAAAATAAAGTATCCTAGTTTGTTTAGCTTCACAAAATGAAGGCTGAGAGGGGATCTTTGTGTATCGGGGGTTAAACAGGAGGCAGGAAAAAAGAGACTTTTAATGCAAATGTTTATGTTGACACAAAAGCCACATACGTACAGGCTTGCCACTGCTATGTTAAGCCTTGAGAGTTATGAAAGAGTCCCTAATGGTTAGAGCACTGAGGTTCTGCATCAGTCTTCCTGTGAGGGTGGGGAAGAATTAACTACTTTTCAGATTGACTTTGATAGATTTATGGAGGTTGAAAGCATGGTGTGGTGTCCATGGAAATAAAGGACTGCAGTCAGTGAGTTCAGAGGTTAATTCCAGCCTTCTTTTTCTGTGATTAGTTATCCCAAGTCCAGGCTATAGACACTTACATTCAGGTGTCCAGAAGACAGTTAAGTGTTTGAGTTCTCATTATATCTTACAGAGGATGGGAAATTATGCAGCTCAGCCCCAAGTACTTACTATCATTTGGTTAGTCTCTACTGGTTAGTATTGAGTAGACATCTACTTTGAAAAATGTCAGTTCAGATATCTACAAGGGAATTTCAGCCTGTTTTAACTTAATTAAATGGGTGGGGTGCCAACTTGTTTCATTTTTGATAGCGTGTTTTCCTCTTTTTCTTTTCCTGTCTCTTCTTTTACTGATTTTCCAATGAATTTGTCTCAGTTAACTGAAGCAGTTCTAAACTTCAGAGCAAACCCTAGAACCTTCAAAAGCAAACAGTATTTTGCACGTTTAAATTAAAAACAAAACAATTAAAAGTCTAAATTTCCTTCCCAAATAAAGACTTGCATGTGCAGTCCAATTCTCCCTCTACACCCATGACGCTTCTGCTGATTTTTCAACTAATGTTCTCAGCCCAATAAACCAATCATTTTAAGATTTACTGCTAGGTGTCTCAATGACACCAGTTAGTTTCCTCTTAGCTAGCAGAAGTCTTTTTGTAATGTAGGGCAAGAAAAAACTTTAAGGAAGGGCAAACAGCACCAAAAGGTAAAGCTCTGGTTTGCTGCAGGATCCCAGTTGCCAATGATTATTAATATGCTCATTTCTGGATTTGTCTTTGGGGCTTTCCTTGCACATTGATGTTAAAAGTCTTGGCAGATGTTAAAAGTAAACACACTCTGCTGTGTTTGTGGCCTCTCTGTAGGGAAGGAAGGTGTTACTGATCACCGCCTTGCAACCCCTAGATAAAAACCATCACTGTTACCAAGTCACGTGGAAGAAAAAAAAAGAAAAAAAAGCACAAAAAAAGAAGTCAGACTGTTGTGAGGGTTTCTTGGGGAAGTAAGAAGGGAAGGAAAATAAAACAGAAGATTTAAGAAGAGACAAGAGATTATGCAAATATGAGCTGTGAATAACATCCTGGCAGTACAACCCCTCCAGAGATAACTTGCCACCTGCATTTCTCCAACAGGCACCTCCAAGTCAGTGAAAAAGTGGAGCAGCTTTTGAACAAAAAGGGAAGAGGAAGAAAGGAAAATCAGACCAAGTACTCTTTAATTCTAGCCACGTTAAACTCTAAATGCTGCCAAAAAGCTGGTAATAAAATTTAATTCTTTCCGAGGACATGATGATCACTCATCCGACCAGGAATCAGAGTCTCCTGGGAGCATTTCTTCCACTGTGGGGCTTGAGCAGACTTGACCCTCTCGGCATTTCATATTTCATAATTGAACTGAAATGTCCCTCACACTTTTAACATCTTCCTAGATTAAAAAGGAACATTAATCACTCTAGCCTCAGAGAAGCACTGAAGAGGGAAGGAGGAGGCCAGACAGAGTTTCTTAAGAGGCCTGGGGGGTTAAGGTGATCAGTGTCTCGGTGTCTGTGTTAAAATGTGTGGGTTATAAACAAACAAACAACTCCCTGCAGGCAGGCGACAGAGGCCAAAAT